TCACACCAACCATATAATCATTGTAAAAGATACCAAACATACATAAATAAAGAAAAACAAAAAAACACAAAAAGGGTAAGATAATGTTAAAAATAACATACAAAAAATATCAGAATTCATCATACATCACATTTCATATCAAATTAAACAAACAACATCCTAGACATATCATTAACCTAGACCTGACCATTCGGATAAAATATGAATGTCGAGTTATTTGTGGTGACCATTATTGCTCTGTAGAGTCATTGTCAACGAGTTTCACCTTATCACACACAAGGTTAATCTATTTCGCTTCTTAGGCCATAATGGAACACCTAGACTAGGACTTCCTGCTACTCTTACCACAAACATCACTCTCTAATTGAAAATAAATTACCATTAGAGTGTCAAAAAACCCATAAGATTGAGCTTCCTACATTTGTACAAACAACACTTAATACAACCACTTAAAATTTTTCTTTAGAAACTCTTATTCAATCACAACTTGATACATACATCAACCTCATTCAAAATCCTTAATAACATTTCATAAAGCATATTAAACATATCATAAAGTACCATCCAATCCTTAAAGAGAAATAAAAAAAGCCAAAGAAAGAAAAAGTAAAGAGAGAAAATTATAAACATTGGCGATAAGCGACACATCCTTGCCGTTGAACGCCATTTTTCGCACAAACCTAACGCTTGAACGACTTTCCCTACAGCTAAGTCCTAAACTTATCGACTTTTTGACACTACTATCTTTGAACACCACGTTAAAAGATTAAAACATATAAATAAATATAAAAAAATGGTAAATGTCTATTTTCTTTACCTAATTAGTCGCAGAATAAAAAGATACCTTTAATATAGTAATTAAAGAAGTGTTTCTCCTTTCACAAATTTCACTTATAATTATTTATAGTTTTGTAAAGAATTTTAGATTTTACTCTATATTATAGAAGATAAACTTTAATAAACTTTTCGGAAAGGTAGGAAACTAAGGTTCTCCTACTAACCTTGTTTAATATTTTTTTTTTAAATGTTTGTTGGGATTCACATTTATGACCACAAACATATAAAAAGACTTAGTTTTTTTTTTTTTTTTAAATTTGACTAGTTATTATGAATTTCAATTATAATATATATTATATATTGGAAATTAGAAAAAGAAAAAAATAGTAAAAAAAAAGAAGAATTATCCGAAAAAGATATAACAAACTAACAAACTATGTAACTAACTTTGTAGTTTTAGCTGGATAAGGATCTTTATCTTCGTTCAATTCCTATAATCGTAAAAGGGAGGGAGAGAGTAGCAGTAGGGGATGGCATCAAATGCTGAGGAGATTCACGTTGCATTGACTTGTTTCTCTTGCTTCGTTCGTTAGGATTAGGAAGGAAGTAGCCTGGAGAAGTGGTGTGTTGGCTCGGAATCTGTGGGAATGGGATCTTGCCTCTCCGTCGCGGGGGCACCATCGGATGCATGTGATGACCGCTTGTGGAGTCCAACCGAATTGTCGGATCATAGGATTGAAATGCGGGTTCACAGAGTTCCTGGGAGATTGTTCTTGAACGGTTCATCGCAGATTGCTTCCTTGTACTGCAGAAAAGGCTACGGAGGGATCAACCAGGATGCAATGCTTGTTTGGGAGAACTTCTGTTCGAACGACGGCACCGTTTTATGCGGTGTCTTCGATGGCCACGGACCTTATGGCCATTTGGTTGCAAAGAAACTCAGGGATTCCTTTCCTTTAAAGCTCATGGCTCAGTGGAATTCCTCAAATCCTGACAGCACCTACAGTTATCGCAATTTCTTTAACACATCCATGAACAACGACTTTGAACCTTGTACCATTGCCCCAACTGAAATTGCGACGCTCAGACAATCTTTTATCAGAGCTTCGAAGATCATGGACAGAGACCTCAGAATTCACAATCAGATCGATTGCTCCTCTAGTGGCTCCACGGCTGTTACCTTGCTCAAGCAGGTGAGTATCACATCGCATCCCATCCCATCCCATCCCATCACTTCACATTATCTGCCACCTTCTTCAATTTTCGTTCATTCATCCCTCCCTCCCTCCATCCTTTAAGGGCCACGACCTTCTTATTGCTAATGTGGGTGACTCCAGAGCTGTATTGGCTACTCATGACCGCAATGGTTCCCTTATTGCCATTCAGCTGACCACTGACCTTAAGCCTGATCTTCCAAGTACCTCTCTCTTACCCACGTCTTTATTTGCGTCCAATACAATGCTGGATATTTTTCTTGTCTCACTGTTTTTTATTCATCAGGGGAAGCAGAGAGGATAAGGATTTGTAAGGGAAGAGTGTTCGCCCTTCAAAATGAACCGGGGATTTATAGATTATGGCTTCCCAATGTTGACTCCCCCGGGCTTGCCATGTCAAGATCTTTTGGAGATTTTTGTCTCAAGGACTTTGGACTCATCTCTGTTCCTGATCTCTCTTATCACCGCCTCAATCACAGGGATCAATTTGTTGTGTTAGCCACAGATGGGGTAACGCTTACCTCCTTTTTTCTTTTGTCAAACACAAATATATATGATCCACATTCTTGTGTTATCATGCACATACTTTCAAATCTCTTTAGGTATGTGATGTTTTATCAAACGAAGAAGTTGTGTCCATTGTGTCGTCTAGTCCACGCTCTTCAGCGGCTCGAATACTGGTTGACGCAGCTGTTCAGGCATGGAAAACCAAGCTTCCCACTTCTAAGGTTGATGATTGCTCTGTAGTTTGCCTCTTCCTTAATTCCATGTCGGAGTTAAAACCATCGACCCCCAAAAAAGACCCATCAAATGTCGTTGAGCAGTAACCACCACTACTTAGAGCGGAACCTTAACGAAAGTGCCCACAGTACATATCTTTTATGTCAACCATCATTCTCTTTATTTAGAAGAAGGACTATTTGGCTGCATCCCCTATTTCAGGAATACACTCACATCCTAAGGTTTAACAAATTTTCATTTGTCTCTCCCCAAATAAATCTCTCTCAATTTATATAACAAAATAAAGTTATATACTACCCATTAACACATGTCACTTGATATTTTTTTAGGCAGTTATAAGGATAGAGAGATGTAGCCATGCAAATACATACGGAACATAATTTCATTAAACCTCGGGTGTGTGTGCAAAATGACATAATTTATCTTATATTTTTACATGTACAGGGTAAAGGGATACTACCGTCCTTTTCTTTTTAGCTGGAGATCTTTTCCTTATCTGTATATCCAAGTCTTTAGATTATATTATGTAGTTCATCCAGGGGTTGCTTGAAAGAAAAGAATAAGAATTTTATTTGCTTTTCTGTCATTTGTATTTTACCCTGTTAGTTATATTTTTCCTTGTTATTTACATTTTAATTTAAACACTCCAAATACCCAACACCTTCCAAAGCCACACAAGGCCAAGTCCTTTTTTGAAACAAAAGTTTCTTGTCGATTACTATTTCAGTGGTTAGTAGAGTTGAGACAGAAGCCTGACCTTTAATTCTTTAATACTTAGCTGTAGTTCCATGTAGCTCTGAACGTCTTGAGCAAAATGAGTATAACCCACTGATGTTATAAATTGGGCAAAGGAGAAATACACTTTGTAATAGCCACCATTTTGATTTGCATTTTCCTTGTCTATAATGGTGCTGACTGGGTTATGAAGTCAAGCTGCCTTGAGTCTATGTGTCACTTGATAAGGATGTAATATCATTGAGCTGTGTAGAACTCGTTTGATGGACAAATAGAACTTTTCCAGCCAAAAGCTACTTGTAGATTGTATAACAAGACCTTTTACTTGGTGACATTTGGTTGGGGTTTTGCAAACGAGTGTTCTTTTGTAAGTCGTGTCAAAGAATTTAATATTATACTATTTGCACTTTTTAATTACTGACTTAAACAATAAAGTCATCTTGAATTTTTGCCGATCTCGATTATTCTATGATATTCGTCAATGCATTATGTTTTACATTTTTTTGTGCCCATTGCGTAAACTGAATTCAACATAGTAATAACTTCTGCTTCTCCTATTTAATTATATTTTCTCTGATTTTGGCGTGGTTGTATATGATAAACTTCCCCATGCACATCTATATTTGTTATCACAATAGTTTTTTTTTTACATGCTTTTACATTGTTATTTCATTATTTTTTTTACATTGTATATGATTAACCAGTTTTTTTATTTTGGTTTAGTTTGTAATCTTAATTTTCTTATCTTGAAAATATATAACGTATGATACATGTGAACTAGATATTTAATAAAGAAATTGCAATTATATAAATCTGAACTAAGAACACACTTTTTGGGTGTTATTAAAATGAAAATGAAAATTATGAAATATCATCCTCATAGATCACTTCGTATTATTTATAGATAAAATTAATATATCCTTTTTAAAATTTTCATAAAGGTGTTTATTTCTTTATCTTATATTTTATTTTTTTTGACACTTTTTAATTGGATAAGCTATATAGAATTTAATTAATTTCGAATAAAGTCTCGTATTCTAATTAACTAAATAAAAAGTAATTAAGTAAAAATCTCAATTCAACACACATACAAACATATATTTATAAAAATTTTATAAAAAAAATTAGTCAATATTAGATGTGGTAATTAGAAAGTTATAAAAATATTAAATATATTTTATCGTGTTTTCTGGTTATTAATGGTTTTAGGTGAAAGACAAATAAAAAACTTAACTATTATTTTGTGTACATTAGGGATTTTATCCAGTAATATTTCTTTTCTATTTTTAATTTGTCCACTAATTTGTTTTTATTAACCAGACAGGTCAATTCATATTTCTGTACTTGATCTTCACAATTTTGATCCAATCGTTGTAAAGCTTTCTTTTTGGTAGATTTTTCTATTTTGTCTTTCTTTTTAAGACAATGGATAGATTTTATTCAGCAATAATGGCTTACACTCACAAGGAGGAGAATGGTAGACAAAGTATAATGCAGAGCATGAACAGAAAACACGTTTTAAAACTTCAATCCCACTAAGTAATCCATCCATATCAACAATATCGCAATGTACCCCCTTTTTATGTTTATTCATCTTTTAGAGATCTCTGAACCTCTTCACAAGCAAAATGAGTATAAAATATTGCTATTATAAATCAGACAACGGAAAAATTCACTAATAGCCAGATTTTTTGTCATTTCCTGGTCTATAATTACTCTAATTGGGTTATGAATCATAACTGGAATGCTAGCAATTTAACCAAAACAGGGTTGGATGTCTAACACAGATTATGTCTTCAACCGGTAAACCATGCTACTACATACCCTAATACCATGTATAGCTAACCCCTTTATCCACATAGGTTCAAGAATAAGATATCAAAACATTAACTTTAGCAGACCTTGTGGCCAAGAGTCTTAGGTTCTAGTTATCCACGTTGCAAAATCATTAATGATAACTTTGGCCCCTTCCTCATTTTCCCATGTGACTTAATATTCGGCTAATTATAGCCTCTTTCTTTCCGGAAACAGGAAGATTATGTGCGGTAAGATAATATTTCAACTCCACCACAGTCAAATCCTTTAACTGCAAAAAAATATCAAATGATTCCACATCAGCAATTTTGAAAGTTAAAAGAAAGAGCAGCACTGCAAATGAAAATTTTAAGCCATTATTACAATCCCCACCTAAACTGATAGCCATCTGATACCAGAAACTCAAATTTTAAGTGTGACTAACATCTTTGTCCGTATAAGGTATGGTAACTTTGAGTCATAATTAAAACTTCGTTACAACTTTGAGTCATAATCACCTTGTCGTTGGAGGTGCAGACCAGACACAAGGCATCCTAAACCCTAAACACCCGCCCTCAATCAAATCCCCACCAGTCACCACCAAAAAGAGAGTTGTAGTGAGGAGAGAGATAGAGAGTTAAAGGGAGGTGAGGAAGATTCTAGTGCCGAAGACATTTTTTTATGAAGTGTAGAAACATTTTTTTATAAAGTGTAGGAACGAAATTGGTATATACTTTGGAACAGGAATAAAATACAATTTTAGTTAATAGTTTAGAGACAAAAAATATATTTAATCCTTAATAAAATACTTTGTTATTTCCTTACACAGATCAAATTGGTAGCAAAGCTCCAAATATTGGGAGCCCTATTTCCACTGGAATTGGTGAAAGGAACTGTTTCATTTTATTAGTAAAAGACCTAGAAAAGAACAGCCACTAAGACAAAAGCTAGGTAAGCAGGAAGAAGAGGCTAGAAAAGGCCAGGCAAGTGGCTCTCCATCTATGGGAAGATTGTGTCCAGGGTTTGGTAATCTAAGTTTTAGTCAACTCATATTAGCCTGTGCTTTATTACAAGTAGTCATTCCTTGTTTCTATTTAACAGTACATCAATCTTAAGTCACGGTCTTATCTCGCCCCCCAATATAGCAACCAACACCATGTCCAAATTTCTTCATATTAATAGCAGCCAAATCCTCTGTTCGTTACTGTGGTTAGTAGTGGGTTAGAAAGGTGCATCTCACATCACATTGTAATAACAACACTGCCAGTTATATCGTTCAACTTGTGTAGAACACGTACCTCTGGCAACGCTCACTCGCCATTGCCACTGATAGGGTTGTCAAGACCTCTTAAACCCATTCCAAGTGAAGGTGACATCTCCTTTGGCTCTGATTTGAGTAATATAATTTTTTTGGTTCTTCTGCTAAATGAGTTCTCTCTATTATGTCTTTGTTTTGTGTTTTTTTTTTCTTTAATGTCTTGTATGAAAGCCTATAAGGAGAAACTTGATCTTTTTAGAATAATGATTGAATCAATGACTAAGTTTCTTGAATCTTATACCGATGAGGACCTTATAAGCATCATGGAATATAAGAAGAACAAGATTTAGGAAGAATAAAGAAGATATACAAAGGGGGTAACTTAGAAAGCTTAAAGAAATTAGAAAGCAAATTAATTTGTAAAAGTTTTAGAAGTTTTTAGAAATTTAGAGAAGCTGGAATATAAATGGAAATGTCACCTTTAATGAATCAGAATATTTTTCTTTTCAGCTGCCCACTTCATGGGAGCAAACAGTTGAAGCAAAAAGAGCTTTCATTTTTACCATTACCATATTTGTCTGTGGAGGATGCTCAAGATCCAAATGATGAAGCCCCAAAATGGGATTGAACAAACCCAGTGAGGAAGAAGACAAATTCTTTGACAAAAAATATCAAATAAGGAAACAACAACCTTGAGGGGGGTGTTGTAAATAGAGGATTATCAGAATAAAAATATCCCCAATATCTTTACTAATGATTAGCAAAAAAATCCTTAAAATCTTCCTACTCATTTCAACATATTTTTATTTCCTTATTTGAAGTATTTGATCATTACAAATAAAAATGATGTTAATGTAATGTAATTTTTGCGATTGTTATCAATAAAAGTTTGTCAGTTTAGGTATAACTGAAAGCTAGTTTAGGTATAACTATATGGTTTGTCCAGTACAGTTTGCCTGTTTATTCCATAGCTTGTATTGCAACTGAAAGACCTACGACAAAATCATTGCTTGGATTTCGAAGGTAGGTAACTAGGTATGTTCGATGTAAAATTGGCTGAGGCTTAAGCACACCTGCTTATCCAAAATTTGATCAAAATTTCCACAAATATGCACTGCATGAAAAAACTTCCAAGGATTACCTTTCCAGTGTCAGCAAGCTCGCCCCAGTCATATTGTTTACACTCTGTAGTTGCAAACTCTACCATTGCTTTTCGTTTCTTTGAGGCTTCAGTTGGCTTCCCAATGCCATGCTCATTCTCCTCATCATAATTTTCCCCATATACCGAGGTTTTGAATTCTTCCACTGCCCTCACCACTCCTGGTCTGCAGGTAACACACAAGCAGGATTATCACTTCAAACTAAACTCTTCATCAGCAAATAGATGAAAGGTCAAAGAGGATAGAACAGATATACTTTCTTTCAGTTTCATTTTACGGTCTGCTATTTAGACTCAACAAAATGCTCAATTTATTATGAATAACTAGAGCTTACCTGGCCAAGCCTTCTTCGTCAGGTAATGTTTCATCTTTCATTTCTGGAACATCATCCTCTTCCAATGCTAATGCCTGCAGTACAGCATAGTGTCTTTGCAAGGCTGAAGATGAAAAAAGCTTATTTTTTACCATCAGGAATCACTATATCTTTTCTTGTGTCAAATGGGAATAATAATTAGAAGTAGAACAAGACACATACTGCAAGTAGCTAATCATCATACACTATCAAGGAATAAAATCAAAAATAAGTAAACAGACAAAAAACAGTAAAACGTTATTATGAAGTTAATATATTTCTACAATTTATTGATTTCATTGAGTAAAATATCAACAAAAGGTCTAATTATTGGGTAAAGCTAATGGAATGAAGTGTATAAATGCAATGCTTTTCAAAAATAATAATAATAATAATCTATCAGAGTTGGAAGAGATGAAAATGTTGGGGTAGATGGGATGGGTTAAAAAGGATGAGAGATTTTTGCCTTTGGTCATGCAAGGAGAAACCAACTGAGGCCCAAGTAAGAAAAGCGGGTGAGATAAAAAGATTACCAAAAACAACTTTATGATTCATTGAACAAACTGATCTTTCCAAAAAAAAATAGGTTTTTAAGATATAGAAAAGTGGCTTCATTTGATCAAGGTAAACAACCCCACCAAATAAGAATAACCTTTTGATGCAATATATCAGGTTCAGGAATAAACTCTTCAATATATACATCATTACATCATTTATATTGAAAGTCTGGTAACATTTAAAAAACATAAGCTAATGAATATTATATTTGGAGAAATCTTGAGTAACACTGCTACTTTTATTCGTTGTCAACCAGCCTTCATATAGAAATCACCAGCATGCTTAATCCTGTATCTTTAAGTAAACTGTCTATAATTCAGTCAAGGTGAGTGTTTCTAGATGAGAGAATAAATTACTATAAAACCAATGAAGCTTACTAGATGTATATGCAGAATTGCCAAACAGCAAGGAGAGGGAGTAAGCCAGAGGAAGGGAGAAGAGGCTTACCAGGGTTGGTAAATTGGCATACAGAAAAATCTTTCAAGTCAACACGCTTAATTAAATCAGCTGCCCTTTTTATTTGATCACTACTTGCTTTAGTCACCATCCCGCTTGTATCAGAATAACGCTGTAAAAATCATACCCACCAAGATAACAGTTTCATATTTAAAATTTTCACTGTTTTAGACATTTAAAGTTTAAACAAAGTCAAAATATTGCAATTTTCTACCTCTTCAACAAGTCTGATGTCATCAGAATATGGAAGATAAATCATGTGCATTCCGGGTGGCTCAATCTGACTACCTGATTGAATAACTTCTTCCTAATAATCATACATGAGGTAAGAATTCCATACAAGCACATTAAATGAATAGATCAGGATACGATTAGATTGTATTGATTGCAAAAATTTATTGAGATCCTTTTAGAATAGGTTAAAATTGTGTTATTCAGGAGGTTGGAAACGATTCAACGCGAAGCGGACCACTGTGCTTGTATATGTTCTTCCAATCTTTGCATTTACTCAATTGTTTATATTGATAACATAATGATTGCATGTGATGATCATGATGGCATTGAATGCCTCAAACAACAGAGATTTTCTTTGAATTGAAGTAGCTCAGCAAAGGCAGGCCATGTATGTTCTGAATATTTAGAATGAGCCAAATCATATACACAGATGGAAGCTTGTACCTAACCACCACATCCTATTTTTGATCCTAAGGATATTACAGGTTGATTGGTAACCTAATTGACATATGAAGGCCAGACATAGGGCAGATTGTCCATAAGGACAAGCAATTTATTTCTGACAAATATGGTTTTAAAAAAAGTAATCTCATTTCATGAAGGAGTATACAGCAAAATGTTTTCTAGAGTTCCAATGAAAAGGCACATACCACAGCACGACCCCTCACCACAGGTGACTCGTGAGTTGAAAAAACTTCTTCAGAAGTTACAATTTTGCAAAGGTATTTAAAGTCGTCTTAATTGCCATAAACCCTAGCCCATCCTATTTGTGGCCTCTTAGGGTTGTCTTAATTGAAACTTGAGGATGGTGATTTAGTCCTAGCTAGAAATATGGCTTAAATATAGGCTACAAAACTGGGTAATTCTCACTTTATAAGTTACTTTTATAGGGTTAAGTTAGTTTTACAAGTATGTGCAACACTACAAGCTTGTAGCCTGGGCATGACGGGAAATGTTGGAAAATCACCTTGACGGTGGTCATCACTAGCCATCTCAGTTGGGACCTCTCTTGGTGCAGCGCTAATTGTCAGCCTTAAAGGTGGGTGATTCAGTTTCACATTGATTAAAGATAACAAATAAAAATTATAAGCCTAGAAAGTTCTTACAAAATAGTTTTCCGTGATGTGAACTAGGTTTTCTCAGTGTTGTATCATTCATACGCCATATCACAATCACAATTCTAACAAAAAACACAGCGTTGAATTGGTGGTGAAACCAAATTCGGATCTCGTGCTCACAATGCCATCTCCGGTTAAATCAGAAACTCTCCTTGAGCACTCTAAGTACTTACAAGATCAATGACAGGAAAAATATGAGTCCAGGAAAAGACATGCAGCGAATATTATACAATACACAGGGAGCTCTAAAATTGATTGCAGAGTGTTATGAACCTAACTTATTAAGTCTACCTATGATTCCAGTGTCATGCACGGCCCTAAATGTGGAAGGTACTCAGTTGTGGGTTGGGTCGACTTACTAATGATTGTTTTCAGTTATCAGTATTAGGACAAATTCTATTTCTCCATCTACAAGTCTTTTGTACCAGAGTTTATCTTATATAAATAAGAGAACTGAGTAAGGGCCCCTCGTTCTAAGCCCATAGTCAGAACCCCTATTTTTTTTTCTTCAGTTTTAGATTCTCAAGCGAAGACAGTTTTATGCACGGTTACAAAGCCATCAAACAGGGCTATTTGTCACATCAGTTTTACAGCCAAGAAAGCAATATTCATTTATAATGCCACAACAACACCATTTTCCTCATCTTATCCCGCCTTTCATTG